AATTGGACATTTGAAAATAAAGTTTGAACTCTATTATAAGTTCCACTTCTTAACTGTCAGTCTTTCTCTGTAATTAAAATTTGATTATTCCTCTCATAAATAGTATAAAATTGGATTATTTTCCTACTACAATTTTGAATTTTCTTTAACAGGTGAATTGAATTCATTTACATTATTATCCCCGATATATGATGATCCCTGATGCATACCATCTCATTTATTGTTTTCATTTACCACATTTTTTGTTCTTTCTTTATTGTTCCTGCTCTGCTTTTAAAAATCTTACTTTGAATTTATGCATTCAATTTTTATGTGTGTAGTTGGCCTTATCTATAAAGTCTAATGTAGGTAGTGTTATTGTTCTTTCCTTGAGCAAGATATGGAATTAGAAAATTTTAACTCAGACACATCTTCCCATATTCTGTGCTACTTTGTCATTAATTTAATTTCATCTTATTTTCAACTGCCCCTTTATTAGTTTCTCTCTTTTTAAAAGTAATCAGTTTTTATAGTTTGGTAATTTACTAGTGAGAGTTTTTGAGTAGTAAGCCCTCTTTTTTATTTTTTATTGATTTCAGAGAGGAAAAGAGAGAGAGAGAGAGAGAGAGAGAGAGAGACCCATCAAGGATGAGAGAGAATCATTGATCAGTTGCCTCCTACATGCCCACTACTACTGGGGATCCAGCCTGCAACCCAGGCATTGCCCTTGACCAGAATTGAACCTGGGATCTGTTAGTCTGCTGGCTGACACACTATCTATAGAAGCCAAACTGACTAAGGCAAGCTCTCTTGATTGTTCCACAATATTTTCAATTTTGCACCCTTGCATAATACATTGTGATTATCCTTATTTTCTGTTAGCCTTCCTTTTATGTAATCACTCACTATATTCCCACCCTGTATTCTGAGAACTTTCATGAGCTCTAGATTTCATTTTACTAATTTTCTCTCTAACTTTATCTAAAGTTTTCTCTAATTAAATCTGATTTTTAATCTATTGAGTTGTAACTTTTAATCATGTTTATAATTGTACACTTTCCATCTGATTTCTTTCCTAAATATTCTATTCTTTCATTTGTGCTTATATTCCTTTTAAAATGCAGTTTTTATTTTTATTTATTTTATACTCTCATTCATATTGCCCTATGAATCCATGTTATGAGAGTGCTAACTCACCTATATATTATGTTGCTGACTCTCCTTTAAGCGGACTGTTCCCTTGGGTGATATGAAACTTTGTATTATAGGCTCATTTTCCAGAATGAGCTATTTTTATCATAGACCAATGCACCTGAGTTATGGAAAGAACTCTAAAGAATGGCTTGCTGTGCGCCCAGCCAGCATGGCTCAGTGGTTGAGCAACCAGGAGGTCACAGTTCGATATCTGGTCAGGTCATATACCCCAGTTGTAGGTTTGATCTCCAGTGCGGGGCCTGCTGGAGGCAGCCAATCAACGATTCTTTCTCATCATTGATGTCTCTCTCTCTCTCTCTCTCTCTCTCTCTCTCTCTCTCTCTCTCTCCCTCCCTCACTCCCTCTCGCTCCCTCTCTCCCTCTCTCTCTCTCTCTCTCCCCCCTGCCTCCTTTCCTTCCACTATAAAATCAATAATATCTGCAATTTTACCAAATATGCAGATTACACATCTTTTATTTTTTTGTTCCCTGTACTTAGACTCCATTCCAAAGCTGGGTGTAGGACTGTGGTTTTACTATAGGTTTTATTTATTTTTCTTTTCCCTACCATGAATTTTCCTGTGGCTTCCCTAGGTTGGTGGGTAGAATATTTTTTAGTTATTTTTCATGGAAGGAACTGCCATTTATGAAACCCAGCTTTATTCAGGATGCTTGCTTTCAACTCCTGTCCTCAGGCTCTTGCAAATTCAGGGCTTCTGCCTCTGTGTCAAAGCTAAAACCCCAACTCCCAACCCCACATATATGTCGTACATCCATGTTCAAGGCCCCTCTTGGTTATTCCTGTGTCTACCCATAACATTATCTCCCTAGCTTTTAGTTCCTACTTCATTTCTGGCACTTGAAGCATCCCGTCTTTCTTTTTAATTTGATTCATTCTCATTCTCTCTCTCTCTCTCCCTCTCCCTCTCTCTCTCTCTCTCTCCCTCTCCCTCTCTCTCTTTCTCTCTTCCCCCTTTCTTTTTCCTCTTTCCATTTCTCTTTCCTTCATCCCTCTCTCTCTCCCTCCCTCTCTCCCTCTCTCGCCCCTTCCCTCCAACACACACATACACACACACACATGCACATATACCATATGTGTGTATATCTTTTAGGTTTTAATATGTTATCCAAGATTTCTACATATATGAGTTAAAGGTGTTTATAATTTTATAATAAGGGAAATACATAATGAAGCAATGTATCTGAAGACAACTGTCTTGGACAAATTAGTGAACAAGCATTGTGATATTTTCTATATATTCCACATTGTATTGCTTTTAACTATCACTTTGGCTTTTTAAATATACTACACTATGTTCTCTAGGTAACTCTGAACTCTACGGACATCCATTATGAATTCTGAATTTGCCCTATCTATATTTGACAATTTCAAGTGAATTCAGAGGTTGTAGTGCATACTTGGTTCCATGGAAAACAGGCTAGCTTTATTTTGAGATAATATTGCAATTCTGATGAAGAACTATTTATTACTCCATTGAAGACATTAAATCTCCTAAAGTAAATAAACATTAAACGATAATTCCTAAGTGTTGACTGCAACTTTCTGTCTATCTTTACTACTCCCATTCTTTTTCCTAATGCAGGCCTGTCCCTCTTCAAGCTTAGTACCTTCACTATTGGAAAGCCTTTTGTTTTCCAAAGGAAAGGAGAAGAGCAATAATAATTCTCTGCAAGACTTTGTCAACAATGTTATGTCAGAAACACCCACTTTACTGGTAAACAGAAACTATAGCTTTCACTGTAAAATATTATAATTACACAGTGCAGCAATATCTCTGTGCTTTTTATCAGGGAGAAAATCAATAATACAGACTACAATTCTCTGTTGCACTAGAGCAGACATAGAGGGCAGATGAAAAAGAATCTATTGACTTAATAGGGGCTGTTACTATAGCAAAGCGGAATTGTAAAAGAAAATAGATTTTTAACTGATTTTAATCCAAACACCCAAGTGATTCAGTCTAATAAGAGATTTGATTTAAAAAAATAAAGAGAGACAAACAACATCAACAAAAAAACCCCTCTCTTGTAGTTTTGTTCCCTTTCCTTATTTACATACACACTTCATGCCATCATTATTGGCAAATATCCAATCATAAGAAACAATTCTATTAATGCTGGAAGAAATAAACTAGGTGTTAAGGGAATGCTATGTCCTGAAAGTATTAATTAGAATATTTCACGTTTGTATCTGAAAAATGTCATAATTTAGAATGTGCCATTTTGTATAACTAATAAAAGGCCCAGTGTTCCATCTTGCGGCTTTGTAATTCTTGTTAAATAGGTTGCATTGGGAAATTTTAAATATGCACAGTGGAAGCAGCAGGCAATTAAATAGCCCAGAGTTGGAATATAATATTGAGTCAGAGAGAGAAGGAGGAAAGAAAGGAGGGAGGGGAGAGAGAGAGAGAGAGAGAGAGAGAGAGAGAGAGAGAGAGAGAGAGAGAGAACAACCTCAATTTTTGCTGTGTTTGATCACATGAATCAGTTTGTCAAACACTAAAGAAAGAATAGTAAATCATTAAAATGCTACAAGAAGAACTCATGTGACATATGTTTTTTATTTTAATCCTCACTCAAACCAGGCCTAGAGGAACAAAGCCTGCATGTCTGGATAAATGGTTAGTAAAACAGCTGTGTTACTTTCCTTCCTCATTTCGGGTACAAACTTAGTGAGATGCAGCTCCCAAATCATAACCAGAAGCTGTACTTTTTCATTCAGCAGCAGCCCATTTTCAAAAAATGTAACCTACCATAGACAGAGAAATAAGAGGCCTATTGGATTTTTATTCTGTGTCAGCAACATAATGACATATTTCTATTTTAAGTAAGGTTTCTTTTTAAAAGGTCCCTGTGTGTATAGATTCTGGAAGGTAAACAGGATGTCATAAAAATGATAAAAAATAAAATATTTTATTCAGAAAAACTTCTATATAGATATATTTGGTTGTTTTGATTCTGTAAGTAATTTGTAATGTATTCAAAGAAATGTCAACATTTGCCTTCCTTTAGTTTGAGATATAAAGATATCACATTGTTTGATCTATTCCTCTGTATGGGTGTAAATACAGAACAAATCATCATATCTTGATTCATGGTCATGAAAGAGGTGATACATTTTGTCTATCTAAAGGCTCCTTAATAAAAAGGTAAGACTTTGTAGGTATGGAAATCAAACACCTATCTTATTAAGGAAACCTAAGGAATGAAGTCATGAGAAATGGGGACTATTTAGCTGAAAGCACTCATAGTATCCATAAGCCAATCTTCTATGCCGATTTTAAAACTGATGTTTTATTAACATAATTTCCTTTCAAAAACCATAATTTCTAACAAAACCCAGCATTTTCAAGGAGCTGTGAGATGTTCCCATTAAGTATGTGTAAGTCGGTTAATCTACCTGCAGAAATATTTCCTGCCTTTATATATATTACATATCCCAGGGACCTTTGTTCAGTCACAGTCATGGGTCAGAAATAAATAGATTATTTGTTGGGAGTCATGTGACTCTGTGAGGAGGGTAGGGTGCCCTTTTGTGTGCACTCACAACACCCAGTAGTGGTTCTGGGTCTGGAAAGAATGGCAGCCCCTGTATGGCCATGTGAGAAAATCACACTCTGTCGTTTGTTAACTGAACACAGTTATTCCTTTTGGTTCCTGGGAGAATACCCTTTTCAATTTGGGGAGGTAACTATTGGTATATTATTGATGTTTTTGTTGTTCAAATAATTTTTAATTTCTAATACTTCCTGCAAATGATTCCATGCCGTTAAATCTCAGTGTGCCTTTTGCCGACACAGACTTACTCTGCATGCAAAGCCCATCAGTGCAGTTCTTGGATTGCAAGACCAGCCCATCGCAGTCCTTGCCTCCATTCTTGGGGGCTGGCGCTGTGCACTCCCTCCTGCGCCAGTGTGTGCACTCCGTCCCACAGGTAGACCACTTGCTCCAGGAGGTCCACCTGCCATCCACTGCCACAGAGAAAACCCAGTGTCAGGTCAAAGGGACAGGAGCTTTGGAGGGCAGAGGGGAGGGGAGCTGAGCTCAACTATAAAGCAAACAAATGCCCCCGTGGAGTGCTCTATCTGTTTCAGCTGCGGACGTGGAGTGTGCTCTGCACACATCTGCTGGGCTCTGTGAACTCCCCTGTGAGCTGTGTGACTGTTTCCTCAGGGACCACGCAAGGGGACATAAAGGGACACACAGAACCAGAATTGTCACCAAAGCTATATAAAAGTAAGTCATGGTGGTGCCCCTTTTTCTATCAAATGGTTAAATTAACTTCTGGATTTTGTGTTGAAAATTAGGGGGCTTCTTTTCGGACCCCAAATTCCTTTATGCATAGTGTCATATGAGGAATGCAGTAAATCCATGTGGGAGAATGGTTGACAGAGTGGGGGAAGAAATCTCTTTATGTACCTATTCTTCCATCCATTCATCTATCCATCCATTTATCATTCATCAATATCTATCTATCTACCTACCTATCCATCTATCATCTATCTATCATCTATCAATGTCCTATATACTCTTTTTATTTTTTTTCATCTGGGCTAATTGGTTTTCTTGATGTTTTCAATGCCTTCTTAAAAGACATTTTTTTTTCATTTTTTATTTGATGATTCCAGTCCATTATTTTATGATATATCCATTTCTATTTTTATTAAAAATATATTTAGTCATTTCAAATTTTCTGCCATAATTCAGTAATTTAGAATTGACTCACTTTCTTCCAATTTTTGGTGGCTGCTTTGGCAGTAATTTCAATGATAATGAGCTGAGATTTCTCTATTTTAAAAATAATTTCCATTCCTAGGTTTAAAAATTATGTAGTAAATTTATTGAACATCTAATATACATAGCATCTTATACCTGCATATTGATAGAAATTATATCAATTTTAATAGTTTACTATATAATTTTATATTCAAATTATTGTGTAACTATATTATGCATATGTATAGAGATATATACATACCCACATGAAAAAATGATGAAAGCATTAATACTTTAATGGTACAGAGTTGCCTATATAAGCAGCTCCTAACTATCTGAAGAAAAGGCATTGCTTTGACCTAAACCAGTGGTCAACAAACTCATTAGTCAACAGTGCCAAATATCAATGGTACAACTATTGATATTTCTTTTGAGAGCCAATTTTTAAAAAATTTAACTCTTCTAATGCCACTTCTTCAAAATAGACTCTCCCAGGCTGTGGTATTTTGTGGAGCCATGTTCAAGGGGCCAAAGAGCCACCTTGACCATCCCAAATTACACACTCACACATTTCTATTTCAACTCAAAATGCTCAGTGCATTTTTAATTGTGGGAGTCAACACCTAGGTAAAATATTGAAGAGTACAAGATAAAATCCTGAAATTATAAGCCTAGCTAGGTGTCAAAATTTGTTCCATAAATAAAAGCTCTCAAATAGCTCAGTGTAGATTACTATTTTGATATTTGGAAATCAACACAGGAACATAAAATATAGATTATGTTTTTATTTCAGTTCACTTCTTCAACCCATCTCTCCAAAAGTTTGTACTAAAACATAAACCAAACAAAAACCAGGCAAAATAAAGGAAAGTCAAAAGACTGTATCTAAACAATGAAATTAACAATATAATTGCTACCTCAATGAAGTGCACTAACTTTATGGATTATTTCAAAATAACTCTAGCTAAACTTTTCAACTTAATGATTAGAGTTTAGGGAATTTTGGTTTTAGCGGATATTAGCATCAGTTACCTGGGGATAAGAGCAGGTGACAATAAAAAATAGCACATAGAGACGCTCAGAGGCAGCGGGATGCAATCTGGGCATAGGAACTACTGCACATTACTCACAAAACAGGTGGCCAACCTATACAGGTAATAAAGTGTTGACTGAGTTGTATTTTCAAAATCCATTAGCTCATGTGTCACAAAGCTTAGACTTCCTTTTCATTCAGCCCAAATGTTTTATTTACTCTTGCCCAGAAACTGACACCAAATATCAAATATTTCCATCTAAACATTATCTGAATTTTAGTTCCAATTAGTTCCCATGGCTTTCTGGAGATCAAGGGTTGTTTTTTTCTAAAATGTGTGGCTTTCAGTGGTGCTCAAATCTCTTGAATTATAGAACCTGCAATCTTGGCTCCAGCAGTTTTGTTTAGAGAGGGATGCTGTTGGTGAGTGTTTAATCTCCCATTTTATATTATTTTTCATGGCTAGGTAATAAAGTTAAGTATTCTTTTGGGGGAAAACATTTGATTTCCTAGCAATGTAAGCACTGAATGGGATGATGCATTTAAATAATGTTTACGACACATGCAGGTCAAGGATAAGGCTTGGAGTAGTTCTCCTAAAATGTATCTCTGGAATGGGAGGAGACATCTAGAATGAGAGCGCACTTATTTACCTGGGCACAACGTGGTACAGGCTATTTTCTGCACACTCTGCCCTTCGCAGAAGGCACCACCGTTGAGGGGTGCTGGGTTGGTGCAGGTCCTCGTGCGTTTCTGATACCCCCGTCCACAGCGGCTGTTACACACAGACCACTCTGTCCAGGTGGACCAGCCACCATTTACTGGGAGGAGGCAAACAATAACATGTGGATTACATGTTTGTCCGTGCACACACAGACACACAAAAGACATACAACACATTGACACAAAGTTATTTCCCAAGGGGTTGTAAAAAAAGTCTAAAATTCAAAGCTAGAAGAGACCACGGACTTCTTATCATTCTAAATTTTGTCACAGAACTGAAGAATCTAAGCACAGAGATACAAAACAAACAAACAAACAAACAAACAAAACGAATTGCCAGCATTTACTCACCTACCCTGAAAAGCAATTGGATTGTGTTCTCTTTTTCTTGGCCATTGTTCTTTTTAAAACAAAATACATCCCCTTACCTAGTCAAGCTCTAAAAATTACTTTTGACAGCTTATCTCAAATAATAAATGTTTACATCCTTATGCCAAGGCTGTAAGTGGATCTGAAACATGGGAGCTGCATACAATCATTCTGTCTTGTCTTAATACCAGATGATTGATTACTTTTCTTTAGCATATATAAACTTTGCAACCTTTTAAGAATTTTTTGTCAGTGAACCCGGTCAAAAAAAGAAAATCTTACATTGGTGTTTTTTTCTTTTTTCTTTTTTCTAATTGAGTAGCTATTTGACTGAATTGGAAATTAGTTTATGTAATTGACATGAACACTTATCTATTCTAATAAAAGGGTAATATGCTCATTAGACTGGGAGACTGGATATCTTCCTAGAGTCCGACTTCCTTCCAGGACAAAGCCATAGTGGTGGGGGCTGAGGCAGTTAAGGGCAATTAGGCCAGCAGAGGAGGACAGTTGGGGGCCATGAGGCTGGCAGGGGAGCAGTTTAGGCAGTGATCAGCTCAGCAGGCAGGCAAGCAGTTAGGAGCCAGCAGTCCCAGATTGTAAGAGGGATGTCTGACTGCCAGTTTAGGCCTCATCCCCCGAGGGGTCCCAGATTGGAGAGGATGCAGGCCAAGCTGAGGGGACCCTCCCCTCCGTACACGAACTTCATGCACCTGGCCTCTGGTTTTGTATGGTGTTTGAGGGAGATATCATTATAGATGAGATTATGAAGCCTACCCTCTTATACTCTGCTCATTATTTACCTTGGAGATCTACTCTGGAAAATACTCCTCACTATGCATGCCCGGATGGAGCATGTAAAGCAAGTTCAGGAAGTTAACATTACTCTAATGTATAGGGGGCATGTCAGCTCCAGTTTACTTGGGGTTTTGCAATAATTGGACTGAGCCACGGTTCACAGTATAGGCAACAAACTGCTTTAAGCATCTTCTCTCCAAATTCACTCTGTATCTGGGTGGCTCAGGGTAGGGAGAGAGGAGGGCTCAGGAAAGCAGCTGGCAGTTAGGTAGATTTCCTTCATTTTCTCATAAACTGGCTGACAAAGGGCTAGGACATTCCAAGACCAGTCTTCCCATGAGCATCAAAGAAGCAGCGAAACCTCACTGCCTACGTGAGCAGCAGGAGGAGATCGGCTGTGGGGATTGCCAAGGGGCTTCTCATCTGATGTTTGGCAATTAAGATGAGATCTGCACCTTGACAGGAACTAGATCGAGACCCCCAAAAGCTCACTCACCATAGACGATGACAGTGGCTGTTGTGCTTTTCCTCTTGGCAACGATGTTTTTGGCGACACATGTATAGTTTGCAGTGTCTGAGAGGCGGGCCTGCTTGATGATGAGGTTGTGATCAATAGTAATATAAAAATTCCGGTCTTCAACTGGGTCAATGATGTCTTCATTTTTCAACCATTCCACCTAAAGAGGCACAAGAGAAATAGGTAATCCCCCAGTCTGTATCCCTGCATGGGTGCCTGTCCTAACTTGGGCTTTGCAACCCGTATAATATTGCTCTGAGCTCGGAACTTCTGCAAACCGGGAGGAAGTAACTTTGGGAGGTCATGTGAAGTATCACTCACCTGCCAGGCATGCTGATTCTGTCTGTGCTGCGGTATTCTCAAATGTCAATGAACCCACTGGGAAATGCAGTGCTCAGATTGTTTTCACTTTGCCCCACAGGCAGGAACAGGGAAGGTGCCGCTGCCAAGCTCAGAACCCAATCAAAAATAATAGGCGACGCATTTCCAATGGAACTCAACCCTTTTGCAATTTGATTTGTTTACTTGTGGCAACCGACCTGCAGCTTTTCGGGGGAGAGTGTAAGGACGACGTGCAAAGCTCAAGAGGCAGCTTCCATATGTAGCGCTAATGAAACAACATTTGGATGATTTCCGCGCAGCCCTTGCTGAAACATATGGACTAGATTTCCCTGAAAATGCATTCCCTTTAAAATGCTGTAAACACATATTTTGAGATGCATCTGCGCCAAAATAGTTGGGGAGGAAAAAAGATTTTCTACCAACTCTCAATATAATTCAAATAGCATGGAAGTCAGACTCAAATCTCTCCTTTTGTGTATCACTAGCAGCAAATCTTTTGCTCAAGGTTTGCTTCTGGGGAACCTGATCGCCGGCATGACTGTCCAAAACTAGTAAACTAATCATTTTCCATGCAATTAATACCAACTGAGCAACAGTGATGTTATCCCTGCAGAATGAAAAGAGGGAGCTGCATCTGTATAAGCGGCCCTCTGAGGGAGAAACCATTTCTTCTCTTGTAAATCACTTATTTTCCCCACCTTCCCTCCTTCCCTCATGTTCAGGTTTTTCCACAAAGCAAAACAACATTGATATTTACCACATTTAAACTTTCCTTTAGCATTAGTGCGAATGCGAATACAGGTAACCTTTAGTGGTAGGAAGTCAATAGTGTTGCCATTTTCAAAATCTTAAGCAGCTTCTCTAGCACCACAGGCGGACTTGAAATTAATCTCTAAGTCTGTCAGTGGGCTCAACAATGCAAAGCTCTAAATTAAATCTAACCCGGGGACTCTAAGATAACGCTCCTCTAATCCGTAGAAGAGAGGCTACAATTTAAAGAGAAAAACAAAAACCAACAACAATCCTGAAAAAAAAAAAGTGTGAGAAAATAGATAAGAGCAACTACTTGTAAGAATGTACATTTTGAATTCCTGCTACTGTGTTCTGAAGGACAGCCATCAGGCTCCTGGGCTCTTTGCCTGCAAGTGCCTAGGGGTTCCCCGCTCCCCCACTATGCCCACCCAATTTCTCCCCCTGAATGTCTTACAGAGTGTGGAAAAAAACCTCAGGAAATTGGCTAATCCCAGGTGGAATCTAAGCTTTTACTCTCCAGAGTTCTCCTTGCAGGGTTAGGCTGAAACTATTTTCTTGAGCCTTCACCCGAATTCACATTTTTTTCTGGTATTCTCCTTTTCTCTCCTTGCTCTATCTCTGAAGCTGCCCTGGGAGTGCTCCCATAAAAACCACTTGCATTCAAACCTTTGCCTTGTGACTTGTATGCATACATATAAGCCTAACCAAAGGACACAGACAACAGGGGGAGGTAAGGGATGTAATGGGGGAATAAGGACACATATGTACACCTTAATAAATATAGAAATAAGAAAATAACTCTTTCACGACTTTGGATATAAAAAAATAAAATAAAAAATAAACAACAACAACAACAACAAACCCTTTGCCTTGTGATTTGTTTCTGGAGAACCTTCCTTAAGTCATTACTATTCAAAACTATGGTTTCCTCTATGCATGTAATATCCATTACAATAGTATCATTATCCTAGTCATAAACGACATAAAGAATCGCAAGGGATATTGCGAACCACTTTGTAAATTGAAGAGTTTATTACATGGAGGGAAGAGAACAATTGGAATAGTTGACAAGAGATTTAAAAAGACTTACATGATTATTACATAAAGGGTATGTGGCCTTTACTTTCTTCTATAATATTAGAAGCCCAGTGCACAAAATTCATGCATGTAGTGCTAGAAAATATCTGTAGAAATGCAGAGGGGAGCTCAGGACTTCTCTGGCTTCTAATAAGATCCTTTCTCTTCGTTCTGCACTTCTCAGTGTTCCCAGTCATGCCACATGTCCTGCTTTAAGGCCATCATCTGCACAAGGAGCTCAGGTCCAGTCTACAGGTCATCGCTTCCTCCTGTACTAAATCCTCATCCTGTCTACACATCCCTATCACTCCTCCTCCAAAACCCCCAAAGCCTTTCCATCTGGCTTTGGAGGAGTAAAATTGTCCAAAGTTTCCATTTCTTTTCAAATGGTTTTCTTCACTTTGCTCTCACTAAAAACCACACTGTTCATGATGCTACTGTTCTTCTGGACTCAACTTAAATGTGGGCTGTCTCCCAGATCAACCCACCACTGCACCTGGGGCTCCCGTGAGTGTCCTCCTACTTCTGCATTGTCTATTTCAGACTGTTCTGGCCAAACACCTTTGCTCTGCATCTCATGCCATCTATTATGTCACTCAATTCTCATATTTTTGTAGTCATGTACCTACCTCTGGGTTCATAATCATTTTATCCAGCACAACTTCTGTCATCATTTCTGATGATTTTAATAGCCAGAAGATGACATTTTCAGCATCTTGGCCCCTCAGCCTCATAACCTTCTCTCCTGGGATGACCTCAATGGCTAAGTCAACTACACTCACAGCCACAGATTCCACAGAGGTTGTGAATCCTGACCACTGTAGAATAAATTCTAAATCCAACCCAGAGACACTCTTATTCACTGGTCAAGGCTAGTTGAACAAGAGTATTTTTCAAACCCCCCAGGGTGCTGTGGTTTGCTGCCAGGGTTGAGTAATACAACACTGGACCATTGCCTATCAAGTGGGATCATGAACCAACAGTATCTATGTTACCTGGAAATTTGATAGAAATACAGAATCCCAGGCCCTGTCCTCCTAGACTTACTGATTCAAAATGTAAATCATAATATCACCAGGGGATTTATATGTGCATTAAATTTGAGCAGAACTGGCCTAGCTCTTGTCTTTACTGCTAATTGCAAACCTTTCTAAATACAGTTTCAATATCTTCTCTTTTCACCATTTTCTGTCTTTCCTGCTTCTTCTCACTAGGATTCCTATCTTAACAAACCTGCACCAGGACCTACAAGCTATTGAACTTACCGACTTTATCTCTCCCCACCTCATGCTCCCTATTCCTGTTTATCAAATATACATTTCTGACTTTTTCTACAATACCTTGAATTATACCCTCGAGTATCTCATTCTTTTTTCACTGCAAGGTGCTTACTTGCTTGCTCTTCCCCTACCTACACTATTTATCCTTGCAGTAGAAAATGGCTGTGGGCGTATCTTAATGTCATGATAACAGAACTCAAGTGGGCCCTTAGTTCTGCCAAAATAATCACACTCTATTTCTACTTTCTGTTCAGTGTCTTGGACTCCTAGACAGCTATTTCACACCTTCTCCCCTCCCCTTAAACACTGTTTCCCCCTCTATCACCACTTTCAGCTGATGACCAAGTTTCTATCTTGCTGAGAACACTGATAATCACAGCTTCCAAACCTCCTGCCACCTGCCTAGCCACCTCAGCTCTGCACTGTGCTCCCATCACCTCGCATATGCACTCTGTATCCTATCGCCTTCTCTTATTTAACAGTGAGTCCAACAATTCCCTTCTCTCTCTTTCTTAAACCATTCATTTTCCCTCTCCACTGAGTCAATTCCATTAGCATTCAGACGTGCAGTTATTTCCACAATGTGAAACGGAATTGCTCCCACTCCTTTCTGCCCGTTACCCCTACATTTTTCTGCTCACCTCACCCAATGCAGTGGGAAGAGTTATTTGTATTCGCTTTTTCCAATTCCTTTCCTCTTCACTGCTACTGAATCTACTCTAATCTGCTCCACCATGTCACAGCACTGCTCTTTCCAAAGTCATCCATTACTTTCACTGTGTTAGACGTGCTGATGAGGGCTCAGTGCTCTCCGTATTTGGCTCAGCAGCAGCGTTTGACCTGGTTGGTCCGTCTCTCTTCACTTGCTTTCTGGGGACGTGGCACTTTCCCGGTGTTTGTCCTACGTCATCCCATCTCCCATGGCTTTCTGGGGCTGAGGACTGTTCCCTGAGTGGACTCCAGCCTTGGAGTCCTTGCACTAGAACTTGGACCTCTTCTTTTTTCTATTTTGTATCCATAGTCACTTCCTTGATGAATTCATCCAGTCCCATGAAGACAACTGCTAAATTTATCTCTAGTTCAGACCCCACCTCTGAACTGCAGACTCATTTTTCAACTGCTGTCTTGCAACTCCACTTGGTTGTCCAATAACACCCTTCTGAATTGCACTTCCAAACCTCCTCCTCTCACACCCTTACTTAGCTCAGTCAGTGCCAACTCCTTCTTTCCAGTTACTTAAGACAAAACTTCAGACTTAGCCTTGACTCCTTTCTTCCTCTTCCTTTGCCCATTTAACATTGATCAGTTGCCTACTGTATGTGCCCTGACTGAGAATCAAACCCACAATCTTTTGATGTATGGGACAATGCTCCAACCAATTGAGCCACCTGGCTGGGGCTTGGTTTGCTCTTCATTATTGTTATATTCCTGAGGCCTGGAACTGGCATATAGTGGGTGCTTAATTAGTGTTGCCAAATATATGAACAAGACATGCAGTGGGATCAAGTCTTTTTAAGCACATACATTTTTAAGTCCTATCAACTTGGTGCTTTAACTGTCAAAAGTAATATTAAACATATTTTAAACACCCTTTCTCAGTAAATTCTGCTTCAGATTAAGGACACTCATCTCCACTGCCTGAATAAAATTCCTATAGAGCTGGCTTGGATTCCAAGTGGACTCTGGAGAAATCATGAGGTAGAATAGG